TCAAGCACGGAGGACCTTCCCCCACAGGCCCACTGACACAGGGCGCCCGCTAAAGGAGAACTGTGCCCTGGGGACAGAAGTCCATGCTCAGCAGCCACTCCAGACAGACACGTTGGGCTTGGCGACACCAGCATGGCCGGAGGACCCTGGCACCCTGAGACCCTAGTGGCTGTGCTGGGAGAGAGGGGGGGGGCAGGATGTGGGCCTGCCCTGGATTCCAGAGGAAGCCCCGAGAAAAGAGTGTGGGGGGTTCAAACAGGACCGACACCCTGCCCTCTCCCCGGGGACCCTCCTTAAAGGGCCCCAGGACTTCAGAAGGCAGCTAGGGACCGCCCTGCGGGGCCAGGGACACAGCCTTCCAACCCCGGGGGCAGCCAAGCCCAGGGGATGACGTCTGGGGACCGTTCCAGGGAGCCGGGGGTCAGTTCTGGGTGGCTGCCCCGGGCCACCTCCTCCAGGCCTACAGGTTAGGCTGGGCTGGCTGGCGGCGGGTGGGCACCCAGCACAGCACCCCAACCTCCGGAGGGCAGGCAGACGGCCAGCCCAACACGCAGCCAGAGCCGAGGTCAATCCAGCCGCGAAAATCAACACGCGAGTGGGTCCGAATCCACAGGCTAAGCCGCTCGTGGCGACGACGCTGGGAGCCCAGGGGGCCGAAGCCAGGAGCTCGAGCAGGAAGCAAAGAAGGGCTGGGACAGGGACTCCGAGTATCACGTACTAACCAGTCTGTGCGTGGCACGCTTTATTTCTATAAAACTATTACAAAATATTCAAAAATACAGTTTAGTAAATTTACAGCAGTTAATTCTCCATTTATTAATGCAAAAAAAATCCTTGTTTATCTCTGTAGAAACTACAGGCTCCGTCCGCATGGGCTCATTGCTATGTGCGCTTTTTTTAAAAAATATCATTTTCTAATAAATTCTTTGACGTTAAAAATAACAGAGATCTTCCAGTTTGTCCAAAACAAAAAACAAAAACAAAAAAACACACACACAAAAAACCAATAATAACATAAAAATAAAATAAAATAAAAAAAACAGAAGAAAGGAAGGACAAGTATGTGAGTGTGTGTAACAGTCTTGACTTCCAGGTCTGTGGCCAAAATATCGACAAAGCAAAAAAATTCCACCAGGAAGGCGCCCGAGGAGATGGCCGGCCGTGGAGATGGAAATTAGTTAAATTAAAAATAATATATTTTCATATTTTACACTATTTCGAAAATGAAATGTCATTCAGTTAAGTATTGATCTCTCAAAAAAATCTAATTTACAATTCTGTGTATAAAAATAGACTTTGTGGACCCCCACGAGGCGCGTCTTCGTTCGCGCGTGCTGAGAAGCGGAGCCGCAGGGGGTGGCGAGCAGAGCTTTGCTGTCTGGGCGTCGGGACGCGGGACGTGTAGAAAAATAGACTCTGAGCAGGTCGCTGGGCCTCACAAAATAATCTCTCCCCTGTGAGTGCAGTTCGCAGGACAATAATAAATTACCCAAGAAACAAACTAGTTAAGGCTCTTGAAGGTCCGGTTTCATATTATTTTAAAACATCTATTCATACCAAACAAATAAATAGCCATGAGAGGTGGGGGGGGGAGGGCGGAGGGGAGGGAAATAATCATCGAAATAAAATAACCAAAAAAAA